CAGGCGGTGGTAGTTCTGCTCCTTGTACAGGAATAGGCCAAAAACATCTGGCTGGCTGACTCGAAACTTAGTGGCACAGAGCTGGTTCAGGGTGGCAATTGAGGCCCCAGGAGGCACAGCTAGAGTCTTGGAGGTACAACCGCTGCCAGGATCCTGGTAGGCTACTCGAAGGAGGTGCTGTGCAGGAAAAGAAGCAAAAACAAGTACTCAGCGCTCTCTGGTGTGTATGTGGCTCCAGAGAAGGCTACACAGGGACAGGGTGGGTGGTATGTACCCAGTGGTGGAACCAATTGGCAGAAGTTTTGTAAACAATGAGAGGGGTTTGGGGCAGGGGGAGTGTGGCTGAGCTAGTGGGTCGTGGCTGCAGGTGCAAGGCCAGCCCAGCAGGGTCTCACGAGTCTAAAGGGACACTCAGATAGAGCTTACATTGTGCTCTAAGCATTTATCCTGCACCAACACACTTCAATCCTCATGGCAGCCCTGGGTACCCATTTTACAGAAGAGAAAATTGAGACACAAAGAATAACTTGTCCAATCCCCGCAAAACAAGAAATGGTGGAACTGGGATGAACTCAGGACTTGGCTAGAGTCTGTACTCACAAGCAAGGATGGAAAGAGTGAAGGATGGGGCAGTGGACAGCTCTGGGGATACCCAGGCCAGAGCCCAGGTGGATTCAAGAACTGAAGCCTGATGACAAAGGAAGGAGAGCCCTGGCTGGGGCTGGGTGTTCCTTTCCTTTCTACATCAGTCTGTTTCTTCGTTTGTAAAGTGGGGATAATAATGGTCCCATTTCAATGTTTCTGTGAAGATCCAGGGAGGCTGCCCTGGAGAACTCAGTCCAGTGCTGGGCACAGGGGACCCCCTCCCTCGAAGGCTGGCTTTGACATTCAGGTAGGGCGCTGCTCCTATTGCAATGTGATGTAGGACTAGAGGGGACTGGGTGCTGTCACAGTTGCTCTGGGCTCACGGGTTTCATGTGGACCGTGTGGCGGGCCTCTTACCTGGAAGTGGAGGGTGGAAGGCAGGCGGCGCTGCTCCCAGAGGCTCAGGGAGCGCTGCAGCTCCTGGGAGGGGTTGAGGGGGAGGGTGTGGGCCTGGCCTAGGTTGCTCAGCAGGGTCAGACTGGCCGACAGGCTGGTAAGGTAGTAGCCACCTGGGACACAAGGGGGCAGAGTGTAGCTCAGGCTGGGCATGGGGTGACCTTCTCCCTGGCCCTGCTTCCCAGGGCCCATATAACAGCTAAGGCCCCTTAGCCCTGCATCTACTGAGAGGGCAGGTAGGGCCCTCACCCTCTCCAGTGAGCAGAGCTGGCTCCAGCAGCTCCGACATGTACTCGGCTTCTAGCAGGAGGTCAGGAAGGTCACACTGGGCCAAGACAAGGCTCAGCAGAGGCAGGAACTCATCTGCGCCTGCGCCCTCCCCTGTGGGGACGTAGGAAGAAGAAACTTAGGATAGAGTCCTCTCCTTCTCTTAGATAGTGACCCCTCCCCTTAGCGCACCAGCCCATAGAAAATGGGGTGTTCTAACAACCATAAGGAGGGCTGCAGGGTGCTCTCCTCTGTGGGTCTCAGTTTCACCATCTGAGATGGGAGGGTCAGGTTCTTCTCCCCTGTTGTGCTGCTCTCCTCGGGGGCCTGCTTCAGACTCGGGGGGCAGGACAGGGCAAGGCAGTGAGGGGGCCATACCCACGTGGGTCCTCAGGGCCGTGTAGAGCAACTTGCAGGCCTGCAAGAGCCGCTTCACCTGGGCACTGGGTGAGTAGGTGCGGAGCAGCTGCAGCAGCTTCTGGCGCACCTGCTCGGTCTCCGCCGGGGAGGGCAGGCTCAGGTGGGACGCGAAGGCTCCAGGGCCTTGCACTCGGGCCACGCGGAGGCCCTCAGCCAGGCGGCCAAGGGAGCCATCTGCAGAAAACCGGCGCCGCAGGCGGGCTGCCAGGATGGGCCGGAGAGGCTTGAGCACTGAGCGATGCAGGGACTTCTCCAGGATGTGTTCTGTGGGAGGAGGCGCGGGGGTCAGGGGGGAAGGGGCAGAATTGTCTGGGAGCAGGAAGAGCAGGAGGCAGGTTGGGGGAGCGAGGCAGGGGGTGGAATTCACTTGAATGTTGCCGAGACAAGGGTGCTCGGGCGAGCAGCAGAACAGTTATCAGAGCCAGGTGGCACGGGGCGAGGAGGGGCGGTGGGGAAGGACTGGAGTTCTGAAGAGCTGGGGCTAAACTTGAGGCCAGGCTGGGGCCTTACCCAGCCTCTCTGGCGGTAGCAGCTTCTCAGGGCCCAGCTCTGCGCTCAGCATGGCCCGGGCCCGGCTCAGTGCCTGGCGGATGCCCTGCAGCTCTTGGGGCTCCGGGCTGGCCCGCACCTGGGTCAGTAGGTCCTGCACCAACTGGCCCACAGCTGTGTGTCTGTCCTGCATCAACACTGCAGCTGCTCGGCCCACCTGCCGCTCGGGAGCCAGCAGGGAGCAGAAAGCAGTGCTCATGGACCGGAGCAGAGGCCTGCGGCGGCCAAGGCCAGGGGATGTCATGGGACTCCCCCTGGACCCAGCTGGCCCCTCTTCCTCAGAGCTGCTGGGAGAGCCACAGTCCACCTCCTGGAGGGAGGGCAGGAGTGGGAGGACATGGCTGGTGCCTCCAGGCACACGGTACCCCACTGAGCTCTCCCTTCTCAGAAGCCGCCCAGGGGGCAGCCTTTCTGTGTGACTGGGGTCAGCCCCTGGCAGCACAGGGACTGGGGGAGGTGGCACAGCAGGTGGTGACAGGGGACTAGAGGTCTCTGTGGACACCCGCACTTTGAAGCTCCTCTTGAATCTCTCTCGCTTGGTGGGGCCCAGGTCTCCTGGGAACAGGGGGTTGAAGAAGCAGAGGGCAGCGCCAGTGCCCTGGTCCAGCTCCTGAGGGGATCGGGCCTTCAGCCTGGGCAGGGGTGGGCCTTCAGGTGGACCCTGTGGAGCTTTGGTGTTGAGAGAGGAACTCCAGAACTCTAGGGACCAGAAACCAATGGGGTCTCAGAGAAGGCTCGGGAGGGTGCCCACCAAGGAAAGGCACAGGCAAGCTGTGGCTCTGGTGCCCTCCCTTCCCCTTCTGGCCTCAGCTCGTCCATCTGTGCAACAGGTGCAGGGAGCCCTTACCAATGCCCAGATGGGAGATAGCCTCCAGCTCCTTGTGGGTGGCTGCCTGGTGTATGGCTCTGGGGAGCCGGAGCGGGAGGAGAAGAATGTCTCTGAGGCCAGAGAGGGGGGCAGAGTCAGGTGGAGAAATCTTACAGTGGGGTGGGGAGGACAGGCTGTCCGGGGAGCAGGGTCTGTGGGCCGACTCACCGGGTGTGGCAGTAGGCACAGATGAGCTGAACAAGGTCGGGGAACATGAGATCCGAGCCCTCCAAGGATACGCCTGAGGGATGAGAGAAGGGAGACCAGAGAAGGGTCCATCCCCCCATCTCCAGCCCCTTCCTGCCAGACTGTCCCTCTTACCCTCAGAGCTTTCCTGGATGTAGTGGCTGGAGACGAAAGAGGGGCCACTGGCCTCTGGTAGCCGCACGCACAGAGTCTGGCACTGGCGAGTGTTCGATTTCCGCACCAGGAATGTCTGTGAGTGGACAGTCACGTGGCTCAAGACCTCAGTGTTCAGCCCCGCTCTCCCCCCGACTCGGCTGGCCAGTCCCTACACTCACCCCTGGGGGCTCGGTCCTCAGCACATGCAGTGCAGCTGCTGCATTGGCTCGTAGCTGCAGCCACACGGGTCGGGTGAGCAGCAGGCGCTCCCGCAGGCTCACAGTGCGCGCCGGCTGCTGGGGCCCACCTGTCTGCCCCCGGCTGCTGTCTGGTGTGTCATACAGAGGGTCCTGGGCTGGCCTGGAGGTGGGCACCCAGATCTGAGCAGGAGGTGGGGAGGAGGGCTCTGCCCATCCCTTTCCCCTCGGGGGTTCCCACCTCCCCTCCAGATCCTCCCTGCCCCACCTGGCTGCCCCTCCAACTTCACTAACTTTTCTCTCTCCAGGTGCCCGGGAGTGAAGCTCCGGCAGGGGTCTCTGAGAGGGTGTGTTCCTGGCTGCCCAGCGTCTTCCATGGCTGGGAGCTCCTTTGGCTTCTCTGGGACTCAGGAAGAGAATCCAGCCCCCAAGGCACAGGCGTGCACATTCCCGGTGGTGAGTAACACTTCCTGAGGGCGGTTCGCCCTGTCACACCCCAACCGTTAACTCTTGTGTGTCCACTCTGCCTGGCCCCATTCCTCCTGGCCAGTGACAGCTCGCTCACTGTTCTAGTCCCAGGTTCAAGAAGCAAGGATCCCTTCCATGCCAGCGCCACTCTGGGAGCCCCAGCTGCAGGGCACCACCTCTGCACAGTGCTTCCTGCAGTCTGCCAGCCTCCTCACACAGTGCAGCTGGGTGGGGAGGGGTTAAGCACAACTGGCTCAGTCCCCATAGGCACAAGCCTCGCCTTTGGGTCACCTTAAGTCTGTGGTCAGTTGCTCATCTGTCCCTGCCCTGTGGGTCAGCCTTGTGGGAGAGCACCCCCTACTGGTCACACATGACTCATTCCTGAGTCTAACTTGGGTTTTGGGATTTCAGGTTGCCATGGAGAAAGGATGCTGTGTCTCCATGGAAACCAACCCCTTTGCTTAACTGAGGTTCTGGGGGTGGTTCTGACACTCAGTGCTAACCAGGGGGAGTGTGGCTGTGAGGTCGTTAGCACATGGTGCTGCCGCCGGCTGCCTCCCACGCACAGGCCCTGCCAGCCTGCCTTGCCAATCTGCCAAGCAACTGGGGCAGGTGCAGACATGACCTGGTCTCTAAGCACGTGTACCAGTCCCTTCCCCACCAGGGGCTGCGTGCTTCTCATGCTCTGCCTTGAGCCACATGTGGCTTCTGACTCCAGGTCTGCCTCCCTCCCCCCAGCCTGTACCCCAGACTCCAGAGGCCCCAGAAGAAAGTCTGTCTCAGGTGCTCCCCAGGGAACCCCTGATTTCCTTGCAAGGTAAATCATACACACACAGGTCACACTAGAGTCCCAGCAAAGGTTTTAATTCTAGTCTTCAAAATCTGGGAGGCAGACACCAGGAATAGCCCTGAGAAAACCTGGGAAGCCTGGCTATCACCTCCAGCTCCAGCCAGAATGGACAGGCCCCCAACATATAATGATATGCCAGCCCCTTGTCTGGCTCAGTTCCCATGCCACGGGCCCAGCTCCCTGGCTCAGTGGAGAGGTCGGCAGGAGGGGTATTGCTTTGGCTTAGGAAGGCCTGTCATCTTGGCTGGAGGACAGAGGAGGTTTATCTTCAGGAGGGAAAGGTGGTCAGAGATGGAGACAACAGTCTTGCCTGGCCAGGTCAGCTCTGGGGCCACAGCTGTGCAGGCTCTGAGGAGGGCAGAGTGGGGCCCAGCAGTAACACTGGAGAGTGGTCTGTGCAGCCCCAGGAGCTTGTCTGCCTGTCTGCTGGAAAACGTGAATCCTGGGTGTGGTGCCAGCTGCTCTGAGGGACCCTTGGCTGTGAACAGCAGAGTCATGGTCCTGGGGGTTGTGGGAAGGGGAAAATCACTGAGAGGAAGTTAAACTACAAAGGAGGCGGCCACTTCTTTCAGGATACTGGGTGCCTCTCTCTGGGAGCCCTCATACAAGGGGCTTTGGCCCGCCCTGGCCCATCTAGGCTGGGGGCTCCAACCCACCTCATTCCATCAACCCAGAGACTCCCCATCCTGGTTCCTGCTACACACACTTCTCAGTCCTAGATCAGGCCACTGATTGACACAGCCAATGTCTTCTCTCTGGCTCTTTTGCTGGAGGCAGGTGTGGGGACAGGATGGGAAGGGGAAGCAGGACACCCTGAGGTTCTTACCATCTGCTTTCCTCTTCTGAGGTGACACTGCTGCTCTGGCCTGGGTAGTGAGAAAAGCCTCCCTGAGAGCCTGCCTCCAGCTTGGCAAGCCCCCCCCTCCATAAGGGCCTCTGAGGGGTGGGGGCTGCACAGAGCAGGGGGAGCAGGACACCCTTTCTAGGCAAAGTTTGGAGGTCTCTTGTCAGAGGCACAGCCAGTCCTATGGCCTTCCCTTCCTCCCTCCCTCCTTTTCTTCCATGGAGTTGCCTGGAACAAGGGGCTGACAGGGTGCACGTCCCTCTCTTCAGAGCAGCCTGGACTAAGAAGACCATGAGCTGCTGCAATGTCAGGGCACCTGGGCTGAGGCAGGGGGTGCCCAGGGTGAGCAGAGAACTTCTCAGATACCAGATACCGGCATCTAAGTGGGGGGCCTGTGCTGCAGGCCCTGTCAGAGGCAGGATGGGAACTCAAGCAGGAGTGGATACATCTCTTTTTGGCACTGGGGATTGAACTCAGGGGCACTTGACTACTGAGCCCCAGCCCTGGCCCTATTTTATATTTTATTTAGAGACAGGGTCTCACTGAGTGCTTTGAGTCTCCCTTTTTGCTGAGGCTGGCTTTGAACTCGAGATCCTCCTGCCTCAGCCTCCCAAATTGTTGGGATTACAGGTGTAAGCCACCATCCCCAGCCGGGACCCACCTTTTTGATAGCCGTCCAGTCCTCGAGAATATCAATCTCCTGCAGCATGTACACGATATAAGGGCCTGTGACAGGGTCAAGGAAGCTGGATAGCTGCTGGAGGGGACAGGTGATGGGGGCTGTGCTGGGGAGGCCAGAGGTGGTAGTGCCACCTATACAATGCTCAGGATAAGAGGTGTGTGGACAGTACTGAGGGGTCCCTCAGAGTCTAGATTTGAACACAGCCTCTGCCTCCTACCTCAGGGCCCCCTGGTTGTTAGGGATCCCCACAGCCTGTTTCAGAGTCCACCAAGCTCCCCTACCCTGCACCCTCACCTCCCTTCTCCAGGTCAGGTGGCAGAGGCCCATTCCACTCTCAGGGGCCCTGCTCCTTCTTTTCTATCTGGCCATGTCACCAACTGGCTCCTCGTTGGACCTCTTCCCCCACCTAAAGGCAAATTCTGGCCTCTTCCATCCTGAAAGTACACTCCTGTGGTCCCCCCTCACCTGTGCTCTGCACAGGAGGTCTCTGCACATTCAGCCCCCGATGGCTCCCCGGGAAGTCACTACCTTCCAGGTCCCTCCCTCCGTGTCTCCATCACCACAAGGCAAAGGCTCTGGCTGCACGGGAAGGGGCACTCAGCTCATCGCTGCTGCCTGAGCAGGTGGGTGGAAGACACAGCAAGCTCCAGCATGGGGCTCCTGCCTGAGGATGGGTGAAGGCAGCAAGTCCCCTCTGGGATATGGGCACCTAGAGACAGGACATGGTCGCAAAGACGCCACAAGCACAGGGAGACCAGAAGAAGCTTCACAGAAGAGGCAGCCTGTGCAATGACACTAAGAAGGCAGGGACAGGCAGAACCTCCGAGTGGGAGGCAGCAGGGCTGGGGCGGGAAAGCCCAGACTACTGGGGCCCACACTTGGCATGTAGAGAGCGCCAGGGGCTCAAAGGCTCATCCTCACTCAGAAGTTATGGGCAGTCACTGAGGTGAGCTTTCTATTTTTCTAGGGTCCATATAGGCAGGGAATACCCAGTATTCCCTACGAAGTTCCTGGACTGGCCTGGGCATGATCACACGACACTGAACCATCTATGTATCTAGTCCCACTGTCTCTCATGTCCCCTCCAGTCCCCTTTCCGGAATCTGGAGCCTGCCTGCCATTCTGTCCAGTTTTAGGCCACCTTGGGTGGAAGGATACCAGAGACGAGAGGTGCTTTCTTCCTCTTGCTGGGTGGCAGCGAGTCCCAGGTCTTTGAGCCACCTCTGGCGTGCAGTTTGTCATCCCACCATTCTGTGCCCGCGACCCAGAGTCAGGATCAGGGTGAAGGTCCCTAGGCCACTTCCACCCCTGTGGCCTCTGTGTCCCCCCATGGGCCAGCCCGGCCTCCCCATCCTTCCCCATCACCACCCAAGGACTCAACCCTGGGCTTGGGGCTAGGATCCCCTTAGGGCTGCTTAGGTCCTGACTGAACAATGGTGGGGCTTGGGGAAGAAGCCACGGCCCTTCAGTGAGCCTCAGTTAACTACGTGTTTAGTAGAGAGCACAACGAAGACAACTCTGACCTCTTCAAGACCCCTACGAACACAGGTGCCATGGATGTGGAGGGGACTGTGGCCACTGTATATGTTGGCATGTCAGGAACAACTCCCCATTTTGGAAAGGGGTAAAGGGGGCCCACTCTGCCTGAGCCACCACTATGCCAGGCACTGGGCTGTGCCCTTCCAGGCCTGGTCTCACTTATGCCCAAGAGGCAGGCCCTCAGACCCTCCCTTGTGCAGCCAGGAAAGCTGAGGTCCGGAGAGGTGGGCACTGGCAGAGCTGGGCCCCGCCCTCACCAGAACTGATGTCCAGACTCTGGCGGTCCTCCTCCAGCCTCTGGATCCGCTCCTGCAGCTCCCCCTGCAGCGTGTCATAGAGCAGGAGCCTCTCGCTCTGGAAAAGGCACAGCTGCTCAACCAGGTGGAACCAGGTGGGCCCAGTTAGGCCCTTGGCCTTGCCCATCGTCCACTGGCAGACAGTCGGCTCACCTCCAGGTGCTGTCTGGCTCCCTGAAGCTCACACTCATACTTATTCCTGATCACATCCAGGCAGAAGCCCTTGTAGATCCCTGTAGAAGGAGGGAGACAGGCTCTGCTTGGCTACTAGAACAAGGTGAGGCAGGGCAGGGTCGAGAGCAGAGGGGGACAGAAAGCTGTGGGTTCCAGGAGGGGAACAGCACAAGATGGCCACGGACCTGCCACCTGAATGCGAATCTTGAGGCTCCGTTGCAACCCCCCAAGAGGTTCTGTGTATTCAGGGGCTCTCTCAGCCCCCACCTCCTCAAGCCGCAACCGTAGCTGACTCAGCCGCTCTCGGAACAACCTGGGAGGTGAAAGGTAGCTGAATACCACTGGCTCCTCCCATGGGCACCATCACTCTCGGGCAAACACTGCTCCCCACAGGCCGCTTGCTGGGTGCTTGTTACATTGGACGTCAGCACCAGCCTCACTAGCTCCTCACCCCCAGGTGCATCAGCCCAGCCAGAGGTGTGCCCACACTCACTTCTCCTTCAGCTCTGAGAACTGCTTCTCCAGGTCCAGCATCTCATTGACACACTCACTGCGACGCCGCTCGTAGTCCTCGTCATCCATCTCTGGGAAAGAGGCCAGTCAGGGCCGGCTCTGGAGGGGCGGGCAGCTACTCCTGTGTGCACACGTGCACCTGTATGTGGGGGCTCACCTGAGCTCTCCTCCTCAGACTCGGTCTGGCTGCCGCTGCGCTCCTCCTCACTCTCTTCTTCCTCCCCATTCATCTCAGTGGCGGAATCGCCCTCTGCTTCCATCTCGTCTGTGTCTTTACTTGGAGGCTGGACAGGCATCTGGGCTCTGGAAGCAGGAGGAAGTGAAGCATCACTCACTAGTGCCTACAGCTCAGAGCAGCACAGAGGCAAGCAGGGAGTCGAGCTCCACTGACCCCCAAGGGAGACACGGTGGGGAGCAGTGACTGGCTTTACCACATGAGCATTACACTGGGTGGCATTTGTACCTTTTGCAGGAGACTGAAAATCCTCTTGCCCTTGGATGTTGAGGACAACCCCAATTATAATACTGGCAAAGGGTGTGATCCACTTAGGGGAGAGGCCCACGGCAGGTTTCCCACTGCTGAGACTCCCAAACCTTCTGACTGGAGCTTTCAAGGCCCTTCATGGACTGAACTTGAACTACCAATCCAGTTCCTTCACCTCATCTAATGGCCAGTTCTCACATTCCCACTTCTCTCCCTCCCACTGCCCATATAGTTCCTCTGTCTATGACTCCCTCAGCTGCTTTCTCTTCCTGATAACACTCTACAATCTTTGTCTTTTGCTGGTCTCTGGGTCAAATCCCATCTCTTGTTTCCTCTGGGACCTCAGTGCTCCCCCTGTGTCTTCAGTTTCTGGCAGATACTATGGTTTGAACGTGTCTCCCAAAGTTCACCTGCAGGAAACTTAATCCCCAATGCAAGAGAGCTGAGAGACCTTCACAAAGGAAAGATTCCTTAGTCTCCAGAACCCTAAGAAATAAATCTCTGTTCTTTAAAAATGACCCTGTCTCAGGTATTGCTGTTTTCTTTTTTTCCTTTTTTACATGTGTGGCAGTGCTGGACATTAACACAGGACCTTGTTTTTGCTAAGCAAAAGCTCTACCACTGAGCCACATCACCAGTCCTCAGGTATTGTTATAGCAGCACAAAATAGACCAAGATGGCAGGATCCTTCCCATAGAATTTCTGATGTGCTCAGGTATACTCTACCATTAAGAAAATGCAGAGGGGTTTAGGGGTGTAACTAAGTGGTAGTCTTTGCAGTATGCACGGAGCCCTGGGCTCCATCTCTAACACTGCAAACAAACACTAACCCTTAACCTTAGCCACACCAACTTAACCACTGCATCATCCATTTCATAGCTATATATTTCCAGGCATATGCATACTTGCTCTTCCTACTTTATCTCTCACTCCTTTGATCTGTTTCTATACCCATTGCTCTCACTGAAACTGACCCTGTAGAGTTAACCAATGAGCCCTTTTGGCTAATGCCAATATTGTTCAGTGGTTATCTATGTTGACCTTTCAGGAACCCTGACAAGCATTCCTTCTTTTACTCATTCATCTAGTATTTACTGAGCACCTAAGAAATTTTAGGTACCATCAGCTACTGTAGAAGTACAACTCTGACAGACACACTTTTTGACCTCAAGAAGCTTACGAGTTCCTGTGAGAGGGGGCAAAGGAACAGTAACTACAGTGTGAGGAGCGTTAAACACTGGGGTGTACAGGAGGGATATCTAGCCAGAATCTGGAGCTTGCTATAGCCAGGGCTTCCAGAGGAAAACAGAACAGATAGGGTAGGGTGTTGTGCTGACAAAGAGGGAACATTCCAGCAGAGTGAGTAGCAAGTGCTAGAAATGAGAGAAGGGGTGGGAGGTACAATTAGGCTCTGAACCTCAAGACCTGGGCTACAGAGATTCGATCATCAGCATATACAAAGTTCCTCAGTCCACAGGAGGATGCAACCAGCAAGGCAGAAAGAATGTGGGGAGTGAGAAGGGACCTGTGATGAAATTCTCAGGATCAACACAAGGGGAGATAAGAGACCTCAGCAGAGAAGGAAAAACCAAAAATCATGGAATATTTCAAAAGGAAGGTGCAGTGATAGTGCCCAATGCTGCCAAGAGATGGCCTGAGAAGAACACTAAACATTCCTCTCCACAGATCATCTCTGCCACCCAGGGCCTTCTATTTCAGTGTGATGTTCTTCCAACTTCTCTGGTGGCTGCTCTGTAAGCCTTTAGAATGATGTAGACACCACTGCCTCCAGGAAGCCTTCTTGTTTACTTCTCCTATTTGTCCTTGCTGAAGTCTCTCTCCAGTGAACGTGGGAGCCCTGCGAGGTCACCAGCTCCTGTGCTCCTTCCTAGCGCAGTACTGGCTCACTTAACCACTGGATAATTTTCAAAAACAAAGTAACCATAAAATAAACTTGCAGGCAGGGATTAGTTTTTACTTCTTGGAAGCCCAGGTGCCTGTAGTGGTAGCTAATGTTTCTTGACACCAAGTCAAGCAGTGCTTAATGCTTGGCCTGGAAAGAATTCAGTCACATTCCTCAATAATTTCACCAAGGTTCTGAACCTGACCTGAAAATCTCGGTTCTCCAAACCTGATTCATTTTTACGCTTCAGTTCCTAACGCTGGCAATTCCTCTTCACCATTAAGTGTATGTACATTGTAAAGACTCATTGTGTGTGTACTATCTCTTTCAGAAGCATCTCTCCCTTCCAGCTTATTCTGATTATAAATGTGTTAAATTAAGTCGCAACCCCCTCCCCACTCCTTAACCCGGGTGCAAAAGGGATGGAAAAGCACACCGTAAAGCGTGGCGAACAGCAGTTTCCAAACAGTAAGCTCCTCGAGGGCACGCCCCCGGAGAAGACGGACCCCTCCCCACAATCGCAGAGCCACCTCAAGACACTCCGCGGCCCTCCGGGAGCCTGTCGCCCCGCTCTACCCTCTGATGCGCCGGCGCGGGCCAGAGAATAGCTAGGGGGCTCTTCCGCCGCCGGCTTCGGCCCCACGGCCCCGCGCGCGTCAGGCCGGTTAAGTCTCTGCTTAGGCTCCAGAGGAGGAAATGGTACCGTCTCGGACCGACTGAACAGAGAGGCCAAACCAGGCACCGGGCAAGACGATACGCACCGCGGGGACTGAGGCCTCCGGCCTCACGTCCGAGGCTCCCTGAGACGTGCCCGAACTTGCCGGTACTGGCCGTAGCCGCCGGGCTCCCGGAAGCGCAGCGCAGACCCCTCTTCTTCAGGAGGCGGGGCCTGCCGGCGCTTCCGTGTGAGTCATCAGGAGGCGCCCGCCGGGGGAGCTCACAATTGGACCGCTGGGGCCGAGGCATGCTGGGATACCGCGGGCCAGTCTCCATAGCAACCCGCCGACATTCACGCAGGCCTTAGGCTAGCTGGGAAGGCCCCAGCGGTTTCCTCGCTTTGCTGCAGGTGCCCCTGGATCCGCGGCCCTCTCCCCCAGAAGTGTAAAGGGAGAACCCAGGGGCCCCAGCTCAGGAGAGTAACGAAGCCAGCTGTGGGTGTGAACACTCGTTTATTTACACATTGTCATTCGAAAGCAAAAAACCCAGCCCAGCCTATGGGAGGGTACAGATCTCAGATTGTCACTCATAGAGCCTGCGGACCCTTCCCTCCTCCAGAGCCCCCGAGGATGGAGGCCTGGAAGAACCAGGAAGTTTAGGATTCTGCTAAAAACTAAACTGTATGCTTTCATCCGATTTCTTTCCAAAAGGCCAATTTCATTAAGTATTCCAACTTAACTCTGCACCATTCATACTTTTAACTCTTCTATTGTCCATGCACCCAAAATTGTTAATAATAATAATAATAATACTGTAATAATATTAATAATACTTCACATTTGTACGAAGCTTACAGAATGTTTTCACATATAGTATCTCATCTGAGCCTCCCAACAGTTCTGTGAGGTAGGTATTCTCACCTCCCTTTTTACAGACAGCTTAACTGAAGCTCAGAGAGATAATGGGATTTGCTCAAGGCCACACAGCTAGTTAGTGGTAAAGCTAGGACTTGATCCCAGCACCCCATATTCAAGTCCAGTGTTCCAACACCATAGCTACCTCTGTAAAGTGGAGTGACATTTCTTACCCCAGTCAGGCCTGAGGGGCGACCTGAGGAGCCAAAGGCTGAGAATTCTCAGACTAGGGGAGGGATGGACTCAGCAGCGTCGGGGAGAGTTGGGGTACTTGGCCTTCAACTCCTGTTTGAACTGGCGGTAAAGGATCTTATTATGCTGATTTTCAACCTCCTTTTGGGGATGGAACTTCAAGGCTTCTTTGAAGCCCTTATGAACCAGGAAACCTTCATTCAGCACCTCAAAATCAAACCCTGCCACGTGAAGCTCACAAGCCTGTAGAGAGAGAGAGAAAGAAGAGTCAGCAAAGTTTCACTGAGTTCCCAGGGCTTAGATGGGCTTCCTCACCCTTCTGGAGGCATCTTAGAAACTGCACTATCCATCCGTTTCCCAAACTGTGATCTCCCCTGCTTTACTGCCTCCTTCCATCCGGGGCCACTCCATCCCTGACCCCACCACCACTTTTACCCATCCCCCTTGCCCTCTCCCTTTTAGGTACCTGGCTGATTCGATTGAAGCCATACTGCCGAAATCGCTCATCAAAGGTGGGCACCTTGCCTCCAGCCACGTAGAATGGCTCCCAGGGGTCCTGCCAAGGCACCACGTAGGCAGGCCTCAGCAAGCTCTCTTCTGGCAGATTGACCCAGCGGGAGTAGTTGGTAGGCGCCTGGCAAGGTGTGCACAGCCCATAATAGAAGGGCCGGACCTCGCCCACCTGGTAGAGCTGCAGGAGTTCAGTCTTGCTCATGGGCATACGGCGGGCTCGGCGGATCTCAAAAGCAGGCACCACCAGTGCGGTGCCCCCCCACTGGTTGCTCTGATCCAACATTTCCCGCAGGCCTCTCCACAGCCCCTCACTGGGCACCATGTCCACGTCGATCACCAGGGCATAATTGGCTCCCTCACGAGCCAGATTCCTCAGCAGGTTATTAGGGTAGGAGACATTGGTGCCTAGTGCGTAATTAATCCCTGGTTGGGCCACCCTGGCTAGCTTGTCGAAGACCTCCTGGCAGGAGCGCAGCAGGGCAAATTCCCCAGGCTCCCGGGGGTCAGGCACTGCTGCCTCATAACGCGAGGGGCACACTAGGTGCATGGCGACCCTGGCGCGCATATCAGGGCAGTGGCTGCTCAACGCGTAGGCCAGCACCGTGGCCAGCTGAGCTTCCTCCTTGGTGGCCGCGAACACTGACACGGACAGCGGACCCTCCCAGCGCTCCAGCAGGCCGGACAGGTGCAGCAGGTTGTCCACGCTGGCATGCGTGGCCAGGATCACATCGTTGGGGTCCATGGTGGTCTTCAGTAGGCCCCTGTAGACGCGGTAATCACCGCTGGCGTCCAGGACACCTCCTGAGGCCAAAGCGGTGCGGAGCTGAGCCTTCACCTGGTCCACGGATCTCGGGGAGGGCGGGAAGAACTCGAAATATTGATCCTGCTCCTCCTGCCCGTGCAGTCCGGACAGAAGCGACAGGTAGAGTAGCTGTAGCATCGCCACCAGCATGAGCGCGGCCAGCAGCAGCTGGTAGAAGGCACACCGAATGGCGTAGGACATCTGCATGGTTCTCGGGGCTTGGAACACGCAGCAGGGACCACCGGGCCGCAGACTCTGCCAGCGACCGCAAGCCCGGATTTACCGCAGCCTGCCGAGCACCGCCGAGGCGAGCCGAGGCGAGCCGAGCCCCGCGCACAGCCCCGCCCGCCGTCCGCCTGCGGGCCTCAGCGCGCGCCAGCTCGCCCTCTGCGAGAGAGGAGGAGCTACTGCACCCGCCGCCCGCGCCGCGCGCTTTGCAAAAGCCGAACCTACCCGCTGCCCGCCGCCTGCCTCCGGCCCGGGACGCGCACCCCTCCCTCCGGATCCGTGCGCAGCCCCTGGTCCAGCGGGTCCTGAAATCCAGGCGCTCTCGCCCAGACTCCGGAAGGGGAAGCTGTGGCAGAACTAAGGCTGTAGCTTAGTGAAAGATGGGGCGGTTGCAGGCTGAAGCGGGCCAAAAGGAAATTAAAAAGCTCCTTTCTACAGCGTTTCTCTCCCCTGGGTCCTACCAGGTTGGTACTAAGAAGTGAATGATGGAGACAGGGAAGTGCGGAGGAGATGAGAGATAAGAGAATGTGGAAGACGCACTGCATGTGGGACGAGGTGGCCGAGTGGTTAAGGCGATGGACTGCTAATCCATTGTGCTTTGCACGCGTGGGTTCGAATCCCATCCTCGTCGAGATCTGTTTTACAAGGAACACTCCTTAATTTTCTACATCCCCCTGCCTGGGACAGTGAATTGAAGCAAACTGAATTTGAGGATGCTGGTGGAATTCGGTGCACTTTCCGTCTCTCCCGTCATTCGTCTTCTCCCTCGTAGGGTTAGAACGTTCGCGGGCCAGGCCACAGGTGTACTTTTCCTTCTCCCTATAGAGGGCTCATGGGTGGGTGACACCTATGACTGGCACTGAGATTCCGGGCCGTGCCTTGTTGGCTGGATGGGTTATCTGCAGGAGTTAGAGAAGCCCGCACTCTGCAGTGTTTGATCATTTCATTTATTTCTCTATTCAGCCTACTGATTGTCCCCACTTACCATCACCTCCCAAGGTGGTGAACTCCTGCCCACAGCCGCCTCCCCAACACATACACATTTAAGCTGAAGGCCTGGAACATTTCAGTACCAGCTACAGTACATGGAGGGCACTTAATGCTTGTGGATTAGTTGATCCATGGGCTCTTGAAAAGAGGAGTGGTTGTGGGGAAAGTCTGGCACCTCCACTGCTAAATCAATTATACATGATAAATGTTCCCTTTTTGGCCAAATTAGGAGGGCCCCCATGGAACAGAGCACTGTGAATCTTGGGAAGGGGTGGGCTTTGAATGCCAGAGTAAGGTATTTGACCCCAGACTCATGGGCAGTAAGGTGCCAAGGTTGTGAGGGTAAAGAGCGACCTTTAAGACATATTTTGCACAGGATGTGTTGCACATGCCTGTAATCCCAGCTGCTCAGGAGGCTGAGGTAGGAGGATTGCGAGTTCAAAGCCACCTTCAGCAAAAGCAAGAAGCTGAGCAACTCATTGAGACCCTGTCTGTAAATAAGATACAAAATAGGGCTGGGGTTGTGGCTATTAGTTGAGTGCCTCTGAGTTCAATTTCCAGTACCTCCTCCCCCCAAAAAAGACATATTTTGCAGCTCAATAATACCTAGAAGGCACCTGTCCCTGCCAGGGGCTGTGTTAGGCACAGGGACACGGAGCTTGGGAGACATGGGTACTTAAAGGTTTTCACCAGGCGCAGGTACGAAGAGTGGAGAATGGGAAGCCCTTCAGCACAGACCTTGTAAGTGGAAGGCTCAGAAGCCACATTTGGTGGCATGTGTGTTTTCTTAGAGCTACTCAGGGTTTAAAAATGACAATTCAAATCACATTAGTGGTTAATTTTAGTGAACTGGTAGATTTCTTATAAAATCCACATTCTGTTTAATTCTGAAAGATCTGGCAATGACAATTCTGCATTCCCACAGGGTGACCATTGGCCCGAGTATCAGAGTGGCTCCCATTTTTGCTATCCTAACAGTCTTCTCTTTTCCAAAGTCTTAGTCTTGCCTCCTCCCTATGCACCCCCAGCCCTTTGAACATTTGAGTTTTAATTGCAGTGTTCACACAATCCCCAGTCACTATCTCCATTGTTGAGTTCTCCTGGTCATCTGCCCACAACCCCCCACCCCCCACATCATGCCCAATGCTAGGCACATTACATGTTATTAATAAATGAATAAGAGACTTATGAATTGTCCTCAAGGCCCCTAGTCTAAAGGGAGACTTTAGAGTAATGAATAGACCTTGGTGAGGTGTCAAAATCAAGAAAAGCAATATTGAAGGTCCAGAAGGTGGGCAGAGGCAGCTGGCTGGGGAGAGGGACTGGTTATGGCAGAGAGGAACATGGGGGATTCAAAGACTGGTGTAAATAACTATAAATGATAGATCTGAGTGACTTTACTGCAGGCCAAGTGGCAGGGCACTATGCTTTCTGGGTCCTGGAGAGGCTGGATTTGTTAGGATTCTCTAGAGAAGCAGAACCAAAAGAGAGGGAGAGAGAGAGAAAAAAAGATATTAGTAGAATGATTTTTATGAATTGTGATCTTGAGGCTGGCAGGTCTCAATTGTGCAGGGCAGGCAGGCAGGCAGGAGACCCAGGA